GGGAGCGTGTGCCTGTAGTTCCAGCTACTTGGAAGGCTGAGGTGGAAGGATTGCTGGAGCCCGGCAGGTCGAGGCTGTGGTGGCCGGGAGCAACCACTGCACTCCAGTCTGGGCGACAGAGTAAGACTCCAACTCAAAAATAAAAATATAAATAAATGTCATATTTTAGAAATACTGTTCTTTAAAGGGGAAGAGACTTCCGAATTAAGTTTATTGGAAGGGACTTGGGATAGTGATGAACAAATGGAATCTTTTATTCTGATTGTGTTTTAAATTTCTTTAATGAAGGCTGTAATCTTTGTTTCATTTTGCTTAAGGTCTTATTAAAGAGAGGGAGAGGAATTGGAGAAGAATAAAACTGTAGAATTGCATCAAGGGAGAAGAGTAGAATTTTACCTGACTTCAAGAATCCATTTGGTTTTGTTTGTTTATTTTATATCTTACTTTTATGGGTTGAAAGCCTTGGAATGAAACCAATCTGGACTTTGTACTCAAAGATGTGAGGCAGGAGAACCTGCCCCATTCTGCCTACCCTTGCACACAGATAATTGATTTTCAAATTTGGTATGCATCAGGATTATAATCTGAATAATTTGTCAAAAAGTCAGACTCCCAGGTCCCATTTCCAAGATATTGGCTGAGCTCTGTGATGTGGCCTGGAAATAAATATTTTGATATGCTTTCCAGTAATTCCAGTATATTGGATTGTAGGCAACAGCTTAAGCAACACTGGTTTAGAATTTGGGTGGAAAATAGTTCCATGTTTATTCTTGTTAGAAGTGACACGTAAGCACTTTGGGAGGCCAAGGCGAGAGAACTGTCTGAGCCCAGGGATTCAAGACCAGCCTGGGCAACTTAGTGAGACCTCGTCTCTATAATAAATCAAAAAATAAGCTGAGCCGGGCTCGGTGGCTCAGCCTGTAATCCCACGCCTTGGGAGACTGAGGTGAGTGGATTGCCTGAACCCGCAGGTTTGAGACCTGCCTGGGCAACTTGGTGAAACCTCATCTCTACAATAAATCAAAAAATTAGCCGGATGTGGTAGCGTGCGCCTGTAGTTCCAGCTACTTGGAAGGCTGAGGCGGAAGGATTGCCTAAGCCCAGCAGGTGGAGGCTGCAGTGGCTGTGAGCGTACTACTGCACTCCAGCCTGGGCAACAGAGTGAAACTCCAACTCAAAAAAAAAAAAAAAAAAAGAAGTGGCACATGTGGAATTCTTCAAGCGAAAACTCAATAGGTGAAAATAATTCTATTTGTTGATTGTTTTATTTATTTGTTTGTTTGGAACCACCACTGTTGACCATTGTTAATGATAATTTATTTCACTATGGCTTCAATTCTAGTATAATTCTTCAAGAATTTATCAGTTTTCTCTTAGGTTTATCATTTCTGGGTTTAAATTTGAATATCCACTTTACTGTTTGTCACATTCTTGAAAATTTTGTCTATTTTTAGAAGCAAGGAAGCAACCACCTTCCAAAAAGACAAAGAAATCTCATGTTCCTAATGAAGTTGAAGAAAATGACAATGTGTTTGTAAAACTTCTTAAGACATCAGGAATTACTCTTAAAACTGGAGAGAGTCAGAATCAACTAGGTAATATTTTAATCTAAACCTGTTCTCTGGGTTGAATGAAAGAGCTGAGGACTGAATTATGGATTTCCTAAATAGAAAGGCAATTAATGAAAAGCTGGATACGGTGGCTCACGCCTGTAATCCCAGCATTTTGGGAGGTGAAGGGGAGAAGATTACCTGAGTGCAGGGATTCAAGACCAGCCTGGGCAACTTGATGAAACCTCGTTTCTACAGGAAATCAAAAAATTATCTGAGTGTGATGACGCACTCCTGTAGGCCCAGCTACTTGAGAGGCTGAGGTGGAAGGATCGCCTAAACCCAGCAGGTTGAGACTGCAGTGGCTGTGAGAGTGCCACTGCACTCCAGCCTGGGTGACAAAGTGTCTGACTCAAAAAAAAAGAAGAAGAAGGCTGGGTGCAGTGGCTCAGTCTGTAATCCCAGTACTTTGGGAGGACAAGGTGAGAGGATTGCCTGAGCCCAAGGGTTCGAAACCAGCCTTGGCAACTTGATGAGACCTTGTCTCTGCAATAAATCACAAAAAAAAAACCCAAAAAACAAACAAACAAACAAACAAAAAACCCAGGCTTGGTGGCATGTGTCTGTAGTTCCAGCTACTTGGAAGGCTGAGGCAGAAGGATCGCCTAAACACAGCAGGTCGAGGCTGCGGTGGCTGACTCCAGCCTAGGCGACAAGAGTGAGACTCCAACTCAAAAAAATAAAGGCAATGAAGATGAGAAGTAGGATGACCGTCTGTCTTGAGACAAAGATGAATTAAATATTCTTTTCAAAGAATATTGTTATAGTCTTTGCTTCTGGTTAATGCATCTTAAAGTACTTCTAATCCTTTTATAAGAAGAAAAAATGTTGTATACTAGTTATTCCTTTGTGTTTTCTTGTGAAAGAATAAGTTAATACTATAGTCAGCCAACAACTATATGTCAGAATAGTTTCAGAAGAAAATTTATAAAGCCATATAAGGCCCTTTTTGGGAGGCACAGATTATTCTATTTTGCTAAGGTTATAAGTCTTTTACTGTGGAGTTATACGATTTGGCTCTGAAATTTGGTTGAAAATATTTTTACTGGTTTCATCGGATAAGAAAGCTCTTTAGGGAAGGAAAACTACAGTAGGAGACTAGTGACCAGCTATTCTTTTTTTCTCATAGCTGTGGATCAGATAGTTTTCCAAAAGAAGCTCCTTCAGACCCTGAGGAAACATCCCTCTTATCCCAAAGTATGTACTTTTCCCCTGGCGTTTTTGCTTTTACCTGCAGTACTCTGAAATTGGGATAAAGCATAAAGTTGAGTGGCTAGAATAACTTTTAGCTAACTGACAGCAAATGTTAAACTAAAAAATCTTAACTCTTCCCTTGTCTTTTTTATTTTTTAAATTTCCTTGTTAAGATAATAGAAGAATTTGTTAGTGGCCTGGAGTCTTACATTGAAGACCAAGACAGTTTCAGGAACTGCCTTTTGTCTTGTGAACGTCTGCAAGATGAGGAATCCAGGTGTGGAGAGGAGGCATGGAGACTTGCTGAAATTCAATGTGTTACACTAACTGGACTGGGGAATGGGAAAGAGAATGCAGTTTTTTGGAATTTTATTTTTTATTTATAATTCTTTTTTCCTTGGAATTTAAACCTAACTTTAAAATCCTTAAGTTTGTGGTTATAAGGCTAAGAATCAGAGTGTTTTCTAGAATGTGTCTCACTTGTGTTGGTAGAATTTCAAATCTCTACCTCTCCTTTGCTAAGAGCTATCTGCTCACATTCTGTATTTCTTGTTTATTAGAATAGTTTATCTTATCTTTTTTTTGCGAGGACGGGGAGCAGGACTTATTAAGAGAACAGGAAAGGTCCCTGAGTGGAAGGGGACCTGAGGGGGCTACCCAGTTTATTTTATCTTTAAAGATTATGTATTTAACCAATTTTATGGAGAAAAAAATTGTAAAAACATTAAAACATGGGAAACAAAATAGAAAACAAATACCTATTTTTTTACAGCATGGGCACATCTTACTCTAAGAGCCTCATCAAACTGCTCCTAGGGATTGACATATTACAGGTGAGATTGTCATTTTTTCTGTGAACACTTGATGGATATGTTTTGTTGTATGTGCTTAAATATAAATGACTGGAACACAGGATAAAGTATGGATGATTGAAGAGTTAGGGTTTGCAATAGCTTTACCATAGCCCTGTTACTGAAATGAGTTTGGTAGGGAAATATCTGTTTTTGTACTGTGCTGATTAGTGTAGTTCATCTGGCCGTCCCATTTATTCCCTCGGCTGCTGATTCCTGTTTCTTAAAGTTGCTTCTATGTGCTCTGAGTACCTTGTAATCTTTGTCATAGTCACATCTGCATTATCTCCTATTTAGCTTTTTAGATACTTCTGTAACTTAATTTTGCCCTTCTCCTCTTCCTCTTTTTTAGCATATTAAGTACACAATACATTGACATGTTTTAAAATCTCAAAGTATACAAACGTGTATACCGTGAAAAATCTTCCTCCCACTCTATTCTCCATTTTTTTTCTCTTACAGTTAATCTTCCCACACTCTTAAACTCTTCCTTTTCATTGGTAATCTTGAGTATAATTTAGTTAGCTTAAGTCTAAGTGCTCTTTTGTTCCTCTGGAAAGAAAGCCTTTCTCCTTGAAAACTATTTGATAGTCTTTTAAAGTCTGTATTTCATAGATTGACAGTTATCATATTTAATAATATTTTTGATTATCTGGTTATTTTAATTTTGCATGATAATTGTTTTTCAGAAGACACATTATTGAGAAATCTTTGTATTCCAATAGCTTACATTAAAAATATAGACAACATTCATGTGAATATTCTTATAATAAGAGAATATCAATTTTAGCAAGGTCTTTTCTCTAAGAACTCTGGTTGGAAAGAGAATTCTGACTAATTATACATTTCTGTTGTGTATTTTGAAATCATCTCCTAACTCTCTATGTCTTCTTTTTTAGCCTGCCATTATTAACACCTTATTTGAGAAGTTGCCAGAGTTTTTTTTTAAAAAGTAAGTGTAATTATGCTGCAATGCTCAAAGTACCCTTGTAGACTTAAGATTCTCTCTGAAAAGGAAACATCATTGGTTTGAAGGTCATATTTATCCTGATGCCACGTTTTACCTGACTACTAAAATTTTACTGGGGTGTCAGTCTTTGAAATTTAATCCATTAATATAACTTCATAAAAATGAATGAGCCGGGCTCGGTGGCTCAGCCTGTAATCCCACGCCTTTGGGAGGCTGAGGTGAGTGGATTGCCTGAGCCCGCGGGTTTGAGACCTGCCTGTGCAGCAAGACCTCCTCTCTACAATAAATAAAAAAAATCAGCCGGGCGTGGTAGCACATACCTGTAATTCCGGCTACTTGGAAGGCTGAGGCGGAAGGATCGCCGGAGCCCAGCAGGTCGAGGCTGCGGTGGCCAGGAGCAGCCACTGCACTCCAGTCTGGGCGACAGAGTGAGACTCCAACTCAAAAAAAAAATGAATGATTTCCATTCATTTTGATCCATTATGATTATTGTTAAAAGAAAAGGCTGGGCACAGTGGCTCATGTCTATAATCCTAGCACTTTGAGAGGCCAAGGTAAGAGGATTATCTGAGCCCATGGGTTCAAGACCATCCTGGGCAACTTGCTGAGACCTCATCTCTACAATAAATCAAAAATTTAGCCAGGCATGGTGACACGTGCCTATAGTTCCAGCTACTTGGAAGGCTGAGTCAGAATGATCACCTGAACCTGACAGTTCAAGGCTGCGGTGACCATGAGTGTGCCCCTGCACTTCATCCTGGGTTACAGAGTGAGATTCTGACTCAAACAGAAGAAAAAAGAAAATATTGTGTTCGTTCATAGATTATCCATAGAAGGGTACACCATAAACTGGTTACAGTGGTTGTTTTCAAAGAGGGGAGCCAATTGTCTGGAATCAGATATTCTCTGAATACTTTTTTTGTTGTGTATGTATACTATCCATTAAAAAAAAAATTGCTATGCTATTAAAAAATGAACCGCCTAATAGAAAAGTAGACAGAGGTCCTAAACAGACAAGTCACAAAGAAGAAATACAAATACCACATACTTAGAAACCTCAATTTTTTTTAGCAAAGACACAACTTAATAAATACATTTCAGTCATTCATTCTGAAGATCAATAGGTTGTATGTATCAAAACTTTAGATTTTACATACACTTTAATCCTAATGCTATGTCTCCTAACTTGTCCTAAGATAATGGCTATGAATGAAAACAATTAAGATTACTGTTTAAAATAAGAAATTGTAAACAACCAAGATGACCGGGATGGGTGACTCATGCCTATAATCCCAGCACTTTGGGAGGCAGAGGTGAGAGGATTGCCAAACCCAGGAGTTCAAGACCAGCCTGGGCAACATGGAGAGATCTTGTCTCTATAATAAATCAAAACTGGTAGCGTGTACCTGTAGTTCCAGCTACTTGGAAGGTTGGGGCGGAAGGATCACCTGAGCCCAGCGGGTTGAGGTGGTGGCAGCTGTGACTGTGCCACTGCACTCCAGCCTGGACAACAGAGTGAAACTCCAACTCAAAAAGAAAAAACAAACCCAAAACAAAAAAACCAAGATGTTAAAAAATGGAATATTATGTGGGCATTAATAATTATAAAGCCAGGCTCGGTGGCTCAGCCTGTAATCCCGCGCTTTGGGAGGCTGAGGTGAGTGGATTGCCTGAGCTCACGGTTTCGAGACCCGCCTGGGCAACTTGGTGAGCCCTCATCTCTACAATAAAATAAAAAAGTCAGCCGGGCATGGTAGCGTGTGCCTGTAATTCTGGCTACTCGGAAGGCTGAGGTGGGAGGATCGCTGGAGCCCAGCATGTCGAGGCTGCAGTGGCCAGGAGCAACCACTGCACTCCAGTCTGGGCGACAGAGTGAGACTCCAACTCAAAAAATAATAATAATTATTATAAAAAAGATTGCATAATGCCATATATCAATTGAAAAAAACCCAGGTTACAGATCAGTATTTATAGTTCACTCTCATATTTTGTTTTTTAAAAAAAGGAGATATACACACACAAACATGCTTAAACATGTTAATAGGTACGTACATTTCTGGCATGACAGGATTATGTTTGTTTTTATTTTTTATTAATATATGCTTTTTTAGTTTCCTGTATATAATGAGAAACTTAAAGATTTATTTTTAAAAATTTATGTTTTACCTGAATGTGTCATGCTAGATGCTTTCTGTCCTGGTACATCTTTTTCAACAGTTAAGATTGACTGCAATAAACAAGAACCAAGAATGCTGTCAAAAAAACTAGAGGCTGGACATGATGTCTCACAGCTGTAATCCCAGCACTTTGGGAGGCCGAGATTGGAAGATTGCTTGAGCCTAGGAGTTCGAGACCAACCTGGGCAACAGAAAATTTAAAAATTAGCCGGATGTGGTGGTGCATGCCTGTAGTCCAAGCAACTCAGGAGGCTGAGGTGGGAGAATCATTTAAGACCCTGGGTTTGAGGCTTTAGTGAGCTGTAATCATGCTACTGAACTTAAGCCTGGATGACAAAGTGAGACTCTCAACTCAAAAAAAATAAAAATAATTGAGCCACAATTTCTTCATCTATAAATGGTTTTTCAATACTTTTGTGAACATACTCTAATTTTACCTTTTATGTTTATATAATATATGCTTGTCTTTTGAAGTATTTATTGCATTGATGTAATTCATGTTTTACCTTTTAAAATTATTTACCTTATTTGATTTTTTTTGCCCTATTTGGTTTTAAGGCTTATTAACTTTATTATCATCTTAAAACTTATTTAAAGCATTTATTCATTTACTTATTTGAGTCAAGATCTCACTTTGTTGCCCAAGATGGAGTGCAGCGGCACAATCACAGCTCACCACAGCCTTGACTTCCTAGTCTCAGGTGATCCTTTCACCTCAGCCTCCTGAGTGACTGGGATTACAGGTGTGCACCACCACTCTTGGCTAGTTTTTTTAATTTTTGTAAAGACAAAGTCTCACTGTGTTGCCCAAACTGGTCTTAAACTCCTGGGCTCAAGCAATCTTCCTACCTCAACTTTCCAAAATGCTGAGATTACAGGACTAAGCTACCATGCCTGACCTATTTTTTTATTTTAAAAAATAATTTGATTGATTTTTATGTATTTATTTTTTGTAGAGATGAGGTCTCGCTATGTTACCCAGGCTGTTGTTGAACTCCTGGGCTCAAGCACTCCTCCCGTCTCTGCCTCCCAAAGTGCTAGGATTACAGGCTTGAGCCACCAGGCAGATAATTTATATAATTATAGAGAAATACTATCTAGCCCTGACTTACCTTCTCTCTAAATCCTCTCTTAGATGTAGCCACTGTTAGCAGTTTATTTCATTTTCTTCCAAACATCTTAACATATATAACCATATGTCTCCTGCATTTTTGGTATCACTGTGTCCAGCACAGTGCCAGATCCATAGTAAGTATTCAGTAAATGTTAATTGGATGACTGAAATATTTTGTGCACTGTTAATGCCTACTGTTAGACAGAGAAACTAAGTTCCTTGTCTTCCTAATATTTCAGCATGAGTGGTGATGGAATCAACATGCCTCGACTTATTATCAGTCAACTAAAATGGCTTGACAGAATTGTGGATAACAAGGTAGACTTTGGGACTTTATCTATTGAATTTGAAGAGTATGTTTTCTCTACATTTAACCAAGCTTTGAAGATTTAAAGATTTTATTTCCTCTTTCTAAACAGAATATTCATAGTATATCACCCATCCATTAGCTTCTTCCAGTTTTTGTAATTTGAGAAGCATGTTTCACCCTTTAAATTTCTCAAAAAAATAAGCTTATCCAATTATAAAGATTATGTCATTTATTAAATAAATATTTGGAAAGAAATTCATTAGTTTTTAAAAGTACAGAGATTACTATGATTATTTATTTATAATGTAAGTGGGACAGGCAGATTGTGACTCCCAGGCATCCTGCAAAGTAGGTGGGTCACCTTAGGGCAACCTTTACCCACTCAAAAATTCATCTCACATTAGTGGCAAGGACTTGGGCATCATCCTGAATTGTTATTTTTTATACTCATAAGTTTAAGGCATTGTTTATTTCTTAAAAGCAATCAGAACCTAAACCATCCTACTTATGTTTTAATTAATTACATATTGAGGAATATTACAGGATTTTTTGCAATTATATGATCTTTTTATTAAGTACCTTGGTAAAGTAGAATCTATTTTGAGCCTATTGTTTGAACCCCATTACTTTCTCAGTGTTCTGAAACTCATTCTTCTAATTTTTGGCAAACATTCCAAGGTTAGATCTTTATTTGGAAGAATATAAGTTTTAGGGTCTTATGTGGGCTAGAATTTTGGATCTGCTACTTAACTGTGTATCTTTGACCAACTTTTATCCCCACTTTTTAAAAATGGGCATTGTCATGCAAACCTAATGGAGTTGTGAATATTAAATGCAATAAAGTATGTATAGCCCTATTGGACAGATATCATCTACCCTAAAATTTTTTTCTATAGTCTCTGTCTGTGAAATTTAGGATTTGAGCTTGAGTGTGTAGTTGCCATATTGTACACAAAATAATTTCAGCTCTGCACTTCACAAGTTGGCAGTCTTTCTCTATTCTGCATAATATGCTACAATTCTAATGGTTCCTCTGTTGTAGGACCTCACCACTAAGATCATGCAGCTGATCAGTATTGCTCCACTGCACCTTCAGCATGACTTCATCACCAGCCTGCCCGAGATCCTGGGGGATTCCCAGCATGCTGATGTGGGGAAAGAACTCAGGTGAGTAAGCACCCTGCAACCATCTAAACAAGAATCCACTATGGGAGCTTTATCACTACAGTATGCAAAGGATAGTAGTGATATGAATAGACCCATCTATTTTCTTCTAAAAGGCATTCCTGGGTGGCATGGTGGCTCACACTTGTAATCCCGGTACTTTGGTAGGCCGAGATGAGAGGATTGCCTGAGTCCAGGGTTCAAGATCAGCCTGGGCACCTTGATGAGACCTCGTCTCTACAATAAATCAAAAAATTAGCCAGCATGGTAGTGTATGCCTGTGGTTCCAGCTACTTGAAATGTTGAGGCAGATGGGTCACCTGAGCCCAGCAGGTCGAGGCTGTGGTGGCCGTGAGTATACCACTGTATTCCAGCCTAGGTGACAGAGTGAGACAATGACTCAAAAAAGTAAATAAATAAATAAAAATAAAAGGCATACTTGTTAAGAACATGACATCTGGTTTAGGATTAGATATGTAAATTTGACCTGTGGAAAAATTGAACAAAATCCCTTTGTTTCATTAGCATTTTCTTCAGGAGGTCCTAAATCCTGACTGCACACCAGAATCATTTGTGGAGGTTATTACATGTCTATATTCTTTGTATCTCTAGATGATTTGTTCTAATGCACATCCCTGCATCAGGTCCCTTGCTGAGATCCATTGCTTACTTCCATTCATGTAAAAAATAGTATTTGGTAGGGCTGTATTTAAGAAGGGGAGAACTATATCCCTAGGTAATAATGTCTATCTATTTTTTTGAGTCAGAATCTCACTCTGTCACCCAGGCTGGAGTTCAGTGGCATGCTCATGGCTACCGCGGCCTCTACCTACTAGGCTCAGGCAATCCTTCCGCCTCAGCCTTCCAAGTAGCTAGAACTACAGGCATGTGCCAATACGCCTGGCTAAATTTTTCAATTTTTTGATTTATTGTAGAGATGAGGTCTCACCAAGTTGCTCAGGCGGGTTTCGAACCTGCGGGCTCAGGCAATCCACTCCCCTCAGCCTCCCAAGGCGCGGGATTACAGGCTGAGCCACCGAACCTGGCTATGTCTCTATTTTAATGCAACTTTTTACTTGTCCTAGAAATAGTTTTTAAAAATTCTGTTCAGTCTGGGCAACATGGTGAGACCTCTTCTCTACAATAAATAAAAAAAAATTAGCTGAGCGTGGTTGTGTGCTCCTGTAGTTTCAGCTACTTAGAAGGCTGAGGCAGAAGGATCACCTGAGCCCAGCAAGTCAAGACTGTGGTTACCATGAGCTTGCCACTGCACTCCAATCTGGGTAACAGCATGAGACTCCAATTCAAAGAAAAAAATTATTTGTAATACTTTCTTCTCTATTGTTGATTGTAAAACTACCTCCAAAAATTGCCCAATGATTTATTGCCCTTGTGCTTTTGGTCAGGATGCTCCCTCTGGGTGAAGCACTTTAACACCCACTTCATCTGCTGGATTCCACTTTGTCCTTTTTTTATAACCTTCTTTAAGAATCTGTCACAGAACAGCCTGGGTAAAAAAAAAATCAAAAAATTAGCTGGGCGTGGTAGTGCCCACCTGTAGTTCTGGCTATTTGGAAGGCTGAGGTGGAAGGATCATCTAAACCCAGCAGGTCAACGCTGGGGTGGCTGTTTGCATGCCACTGCACTCCAGCCTGGGCGATGGAGTGAGACTCCAACTTGAAAAAAGAAAAAGAATCTGTCACTGTCCTGTACTCTATTTTGTGCATCCTACACATGTGTTTGTCATACTTACCCTATTTTATTGTAACTGTTTTGGGTTTTCCTCTTCCTTTTCTAGTGGAGGGATATGTACCAAACTCAATAATAGTGGTCTCTGGGTAGTGGGTGTTGTGAAGGAGGACTTCTTGTTTCTACTTTGTTGTTTGAATTTTTTATAAGGAGCATGTATTTTTGTAATGAAAATAGTTTTTACTGAAATATACCATAAACATTAGTTTTATGGAAACTAAGTATACTATCTCTTCCCATACTCTAATGAGTGATTTTCTTAAGTCATTGCCTTCCCAGCTCTGTGCAATGCATTTCACAACTTTTTCCTTTTCCCACCATTCACAGTGACCTATTGATGGAGAATACTTCACTCACCGTCCCAATCCTGGATGTCCTTTCCAGCCTCCACCTTGAACCGAACCTCTTGTCTAAGGTAGGAAAGACTCTGCTTTCCAGAACCAGAACCGTTTTTTTTTGTTTGTTTGTTTGTTTGTTTGTTCGTTTTTTGAGTTGGAGTCTCACTCTGTGGCCCAGACTGGAGTGCAGTGGCCGCTTCCAGCCACTGCAGCCTCAACCTGCTGGGCTCCGGCGATCCTACCACCTCAGCCTTCGAAGTAGCTGGAACTACAGGCGCGCGCTACCACGCCTGGCTAATTTTTGATTTTATTGTAGAGATGAGTCTTGCCAAGTTGCCCAGGCGGGTCTCGAAACCACGGGTTCAGGCGATTCACTCATCTCAGCCTCCCAAGGTGCGGGATTACAGGCTGAGCCACCGAGCCTGGCTTTGTTTGTTTTTTTGAGTCAGAGTCTCTCTGTCACCCAGACTGGAGTGCAGTGGCACGCTCACCACAGCCTTGACCTGCTTGACTCAGGTGATCCTTCCGCCTCAGCCTCTCAAAGTGCTGTGATTACAGGCATGAGCCACCGTAACTGGCCTGTTTTTTTGTTTTTGAGACAGTCTTGTTGTTTCCCAGGCTGGAGTGCGGTGGTGCTGCCATAGCTCACTGCAGCCTCAAACTACTAAGCTCAAGCAACAATCTTGCTTCTGCTTCCTGAGTAGCTAGGACTACAAGTGCACACCATCATGCCCAGCTAATTTTTTATTTTTTTAGCGACAAGATCTCATTATGTTGTCCAAGCTCGTCTGTTCTCGAAGAAGCTGTGGTATTAATGGAAAGATTGTAATTTGGGTAAAAATAAAAAGGAGGTGTTTTTCTTCCTAAATTACAATTGAGAAAACTAAGTGAGAGAGATGATTTTACATAAGAAGTCCAAGCTTGAGGTAGTGATGTGAAAATTTAAGATTTTTGTGCTTATTCTGTATTTAAAAATATATTACTTTTAATTTACCCACCTGCACACTGGTGCTTGTTATATTTAGGTTCGTCAGTTGATGATGGATAAGTTATCATCTGTCAGATTGGATGATTTACCTGTGATAATCAAGTTCATTCTTCATTCCATCACAGCTACAGACACACTTGAGGTATGTTACTATTTCTTACCAAATATAGATAAAGATGCATTAGGATACATTATTTAAATTAATAAGTCCCAATCGCTCTTCTCTGTCCCCAGATTAATGTGGATTAATCCAGAAAGCATTCAGGGAAGAGAATGGAGCCACTAGTCAGACTGATTATTTTGTATCAGCTAGTATATGTTATATTCGCTATTTCTGTGTAGTATCTCAAGGAATCCAGTTTGGGGCATGACATGCTGTGCTTGCATTAGCTATTCTTATCAAATTTTTTCCAAATGCCTTATCCAACATTAAACATTTTTTCTTCCTCAGTCTTTCAGGAGGTTGTTATGGTTTTGTTGAGAGAATAGACTATGCCTATCCCCTAGGATTGAGCAGAGCATATAACTAATATTTACTTTCTGCAGGTAATATCTGAACTTCGGGAGAAGTTGGATCTGCAGCATTGTATTTTACCATCATTGTTGCAGGCTTCTCAAAACAAGTTGAAAATTAAAGGACGAGCAAGGTAGAGCACTGATAGTTACCACCCTTTTCCTTGCATAGATAAGGAAAATTTTCTGACATTCACCTTGAAGTCCCGGTTAGAGCTTAATACAAATACAAATAGTGGTAGTAATATAATATTCACATACAATACTATATTCTTTTTCAAGTCATATGTGTGTGAATGTATGCAGGCATGTGTTTATATTTTCTTAGACATTCAGATCAGTCCCAGACAGACTGCAATACAAGTTTATTAGCCATCTTATACATGAGGTTGTGACTTGATGTAGGGCACATGGCTAGTAAGCAGGAACCCAGATCTTTTGTAAGTTTTCTAGTAAATTTGTCCCCCTCTGCTACTTGTAGACTTTCAGGACATCCAGAAAGCAGGAGTCCAGACTGCGTTATTCTCTTCTTTGATGTAATAAAGACAGCTGTTAGATATGAGAAAACCATTTCAGAAGCCTGGATAAAGGTGAGATCTTCGGAACTTTTAGTAACAAGGAAGATATGGGTGGCAATCAGTGACAGATATATAAGTAAGATAGGTTGAAACAAGTCTGAAAAGTCATTCAAGAAAAAAAGATAAATGTCAGCCTAGGCAACATAGCGAAACCTATTCTTTACCAAAAAAAAAAAAATTAGTTGGGAGTGATTGTGTTCTCCTGTGGTTCTAGCTATTTGAGAGGCTGAGGTAGAAGGATTGCCTGAACCCAGGAGTTTGAGGCTGCAGTGAGCTGTGATCATGCCACTGCACTCCAGCCTAGGCAACAGAGTGAGACCCTGACTAAAGAAAAAAAAAAAGATAAATGATGGTTGCCAGATGGGCAGATTGGCTGTCAGATAAGATAATGGCATGTTGAATAAGGTGAAATGTGTTCAACTGATGTAATATTTTTGTGACCTTATTTCTCCAGGCAATTGAAAGCACTACCACAGTGTCTGAACCCAAGGTAACGTTCATGTACTATGCATTTTAAGTATTGCAGACTTAAAAATAGTGGCATTGGCTAGCTTGCCTTCCTGCTTTCTTTCTCTTCTTCTTTCCAGTCATCCTTCTATGCCTCCAGTAGTTGCTCTGATAAACACTAGTTGTTGGGGAAAGAAGATCTAAGGGGTAACTGGCCAGATGATCTATTCATTATTTCTGGCAATAAAATAAGCCTGCAGTATTTATAAGGAAAAATACTAACATTCCAAACAAGCACATCAAGTTGCAGTCAAAGAAACCAAGTCCCCACTGATGAGGAGAGGTGAAGAACATAACCACCTGGGTCATAACTCAGGTCCCTATATCTGTCTGATTGTTCTTTCTTCCTCTGAGCACAATTGTCAAGATAATAGCATTTCGTGTTTTATTTTACTTTATCCATGCAGACCTGACTGGAGTGAATCAAACAGCCTCATTCGCTGTCAAAGTGATGGTACTAGATCTTATGTCTGTTTTAATTCTAGAAATATCTTCTTTTGAAAAGCTAGATGATCGAGTTTCTCATGTACTAATTGATTTTCTTTAAAGATTTTTTTTTTTTTTTTTAGTTGGAATCTCTTCTGTTTTGTGGGATTTTGTTAGCTGGGTTAACTAATTGTTGAATGACTATCTTAAAAGCTTTTTTTTTTTTTTGAGTTGGAGTCTCACTCTGTCGCCCAGGCTGGAATGCAGTGGCACACTCATGGCCACTCCAGCGTTGACCTGCTGGGCTCCAGCAATCCTTCCCCCTCAGCCTTCCAAGTAGACAGAACTACAGGTGTGTCCTACACACCCAGCTAATTTTTTATTTATTGTAAAGACAAGGTGTCGCCAAGTTTTCCAGGCTCGTCTTTTTGTTTGTTTGTTTTTGAGTTGGAGTCTCACTCTGTCGCCCAGACTGGAGTGCAGTGGCCGCTGTCGGCCACTGCAACCTCAACCTGCTGGGCTCCAGCGATCCTCCTACCTCTGCCTTCCAAGTAGCTGGAGCTACAGGTGCGCGCTACCACACCCGGCTAATTTTTTGATTTATTGTAGAGATGAGGTCTTGCCAAGTTGCCCAGGCGGATCTCAAACCCACAGGCTCAGGCAATCCACTCACCTCAGCCTCCCAAGGTGTGGGATTACAGGCTGAGCCACCGAGCCCGGCCAGGCTGGTTTTGAACCCACAGGCTCAGGCAGTCCTCTCACCTCAGCCTCCCAAAGTGCTGGGATTACAGGGTGAGCCACCAAGCACAGCCTCTTAAAAGCTTTTATGAGGCTGGGCATAGTAGCTCACATCTGTTATCTCAGCAACTCAGAAGGCCGAGGTTGAGATTACTGCCTGAGCCCAAGACCAACCTGAGCAACATAGGAAGACACCATCTCTATAAAAAAAAATTTTTTTTTTATTTTATTTTTTTTTGAGTTGGAGTCTCACTCCGTCGCCCAGACTGGAGTACAGTGGCCACTCCCGGCCACCGCAGCCTCGACCTGCTGGGCTCAGGCGATCCTTCCACCTCAGCCTTCCAAGTAGCTGGAACTACAGGCACGCGCTACCACGCCCGGCCGATTTTTTGATTTATTGTAGAGATGAGGTCTCACTGCCCAGGCATGTCTCAAACCCACGGGCTCAGGCAATCCACTCACCTCAGCCTCCCAAAGGCGCGGGATTACAGGCTGAGCCACCGAGCCCGGCTTTTTTTTTTTTTTTTTAATTTACTGGATGTAGTGGTGCATGCCTGAATCTCAGCTGCTCCGGAGGCTGCGGCAGGAAAATCTCTTGGACTCAGAAGATCAAGGCTACAGTGAGCTCTAATTGAGCCATTGCACTCTAGCCTGGGCAACAGAGTGAGACCCTGTCTCCAAAAAAAGGAACAAAGAACTTTTATCATATTGAATAAAACAGTGAAAAAAATCAATAATTTTTTCTGGAGGAAAATATCAATATACTCTAACACTTTATTTTTGCATAAAAATAAATTGGTCACTTTAGCTACCTGCATGCCTAGTCTCACATATTTATAATCATTGTATAAATACAATTTTGGGGTATGTGTGTGTGTGTGTGAGTCTCACTCCACCCAGCCTGTAGTGCACTGGCATGCTCACGGCCACCCCAGCATTTACCTGTTGGGCTCAGGCCATCCTTCCACCTCAGCCTTCCAAGTAGCCAGAACTACAGACGCGTAATACCACGCCTGGCTAATTTTTTTTTATTTATTGTAGAGATGAGGTCTCACCTAGTTGCCCAGGCTGTTCTCGAACCCGTGGGCTCAGGCAGTCCCCTCACCTCAGCCTCCCAAAGTGCTGCGATTACAGTTTTTTTGTTGTTTTAATAGAGATGAGGTCTCACTGTTGCCCAGGCTGGTCTCGAAGGCCTAGGCTCAAACAATCCTCCTTCCTCGGCTTCCTGAAGTGCTGGGATTACAGGCGTGAGCCACCGTACCTGGTCTTTTTTATTTTTTTCCTTCTGTTATAAATATTTTACATTCTTCATTGTCGTTTTCAATGGCTATATTGTGTTCTACCAAGTCTCAATTTTGGTGTCTAAATGAGTAGGGTCTTCAGTGAAGAGATTTCCTGACTGGGTGAGTGGCGCACACCTATAATCCCAGCACTTTGGGAAGCTGAGGTGAGAGGATTGCTTGAGCCCACAGGTTTGAGATCAGCCTGGACAACTTCGCAACACCTCATCTCTATAATAAATCAAAAACTTAGCCAGGTGTTGTGGCACGTGCCTGTAGCTCCAGCTACTTGTAAGACTGAGTTGGAAGGATCACCTGAGCCCAGCAGGTTGAGGTTGCAGTGACTGTGAGCATGCCACTACACTCCAGCCTGGGAGATGGAGTAAGACTCTGACTCAAAAAAAAAAAAAAAAAAAGAAAGAGATGTCCTAAGTAATTTGGTTTTTTTTCTGTCTTGCTTGCCTTTAGAACTTTTTTTTTTTAAACATGGGTAATACAAGCTAAGTGGGGAGAAAAGCCCACACAGAATCTACAAATGTTAAAAAAAAAAGTCCTCCACTCTGTCTCATTCCACAGTGATAATCATTCTTCCAGATTTTTTTCTATTTATACACAAACTATGCATGCAAGTGCGGGTGTACTCATTTTTGTGCTTACACATATGTATGTTTATGTATTGTTTTCACAAGAGTAGAATCTTACTGTGTTTATTGTTTTGCAGTTTGCTTTTTTTTTTACTTTATGTCAGGAAGGTCTTTCTCTGTCAAAAAATGTAGTCTAGCTCATTCTTTTTTTTTTTTTTTTTTTCTGAGTTGGAGTCTCACTCCTTCGCCCAGGCTGGAGTGCAGTGGCACGCACGTTCGCAGCCACCCCAGTATTGACCTGCTGTGCTCCAGAGATCCATCCGTCTCAGCCTCCCAAGTAGCCGGAACTACAGACGCGTGCTACCTCGCCCAGCTTTTTTTACAATTTTATTGTAGAGATGAAGTCTCACCAAGTTGCTTGGGCTGGTCTTGAACCTGCAGGCTCAGGCAATCCACTCACCTCAGTCTTCCAAAGTGCTGGGATTACAGGCTGAGCCACCAAGCCCAGCCTAGCTCATTCTTTTTGATGGCTATATAATATTCCAAAAGTGACTCCATCATAATTTGTTTAATCTTTCCCATATTGATGGGCATTTATAATCTTCCCAACTTTTCACAAAGTATTTTCCTAATAATAATGAGAATATATACTAGAGTTGCCAAGTTATTTAATTTTTTTTATTTAAATAAATGTGAAGGTGTTCAAGGATACTTGTGTAATAATATCATTTTCACTTATATTTCAGTGTTTTCTTAAGTGATACCAGTAGTTAATAATTGTGATGTTTTATTTCTCTGAAAAACATTTCTGGGTTTTGTGAAAGTGTAGGTACTCCCATAGGAGTATGTTGAGCAAATGCATGTCATCCATTCTGTGTTTTAATGGGAAAAAGTTGAGAGTTACTGTTTTGTTGCAGTAAATGAACTGATTTATTAAACTTTTTCTGTTATTGCATATTTATTGACAATAGATTTTTGACATGGCGATGCTTCTCATCATCTATAGCACCAATACTCAGACAAAGAAGTATATTGAGAGAGTGCTAAGAAATAAGATTCGATCAGGTTGCATTCAAGAACAGCTGCTACAGAGTACGTTTTATATTCATTACATGGTAAGTGTCAGAGAATCAGACATTAGTGTGAAAGTTATAGAGAACATCTTAACCTTTCTTACCCACCGTGGGAATCTTTAACACCACTGCCTTTGCTGCAGTTGCTCTTTGACAAGAAGCTCAATATATTTCAGAACATAGTAAGATTATTGCTTACTTGATCGAGACATTATAATAATAAACCAACCTAAGATTGATTTTTACCTTTTAGAAAAAAAGTCACAAAATTGCTTTATATTGAATTTGTTTGACTCAATCCTGAATTTTATTTAAGGAAATGTTTCAGCTTCGGTATTCTGATTCCATACTGTGTAACCTGATTTTTAATCTAAAAAGGGTTTACAGCTTCTCTGTAAACGTTTATCTTATTTCAACCCATTGTTCAAGAACACTGAGACTTTGGAGTCTTAATTTTGCATTAATCTTTTCAGTTGTCTAGTTTTGTGCGATTTGCAGCTTTAACAAATTTGCCTCCCATATCCTGTTCCAAGCCCTGAGGAAATAAGACCAGAGAAGTGCTAGCAGAGGCATAAATATGAACCTTTGAACCATCGCTTATTGGCCATTCAACACTGTGAACCTTAGGTGATGATTCCTCTGGAAATGTAATCTTTCAAATTAGAATTTTGTAAGCTTACAAAATTCTTCCAGCTACATATTCAGGATATTAGCAGTGTAGAATGTCTTAGAAACTGAGTGAGCCAGTGGTTTGGGGCTTGCCTTAGGAATTAATGAGAATATGTATTTGTATCTCAAGATTTTATACTTAGAAAGTCCAGAAAGGTCAAGACCATGGTGGCCGTGAGTGTGATACTGCACTCCAGCCTGAGCAACAGAGTGAGACTCCAACTCAAAAAAAAAAAAGATTTTATATTTAGAAATGGGCTTAATGTTTGTATTATTTTATCTTGCAATCCTTTTTCTGCTTATTTCCGGCAGTGATATATATTTTGAACTGTAATTTTCTTGAGGGCAGAAATGATACATAATTTTTTTTTTTTTTTTTGAGTCTTACTCTGTCATCCAGGCTGGAGTGCAAAGCATCCTTGACCTGCTGAGCTCAGTTGATCCTTCCACCTCAATCTTTTAAGTAGCTGGAACTACAGGCCTGTGCCACTGCACCCAGCTAATTTTTTGATTTACTGTAGAGATGAGGTCTTGCCAAGTTGCCCAGGCTCGTCTCGAACCCAGGGGCTCAGGCAATCCTTTCACCTCAGCCTCTCAAAGTGCTGGGATTGTAGACATGAGCCACTGAACCCAGCCAGTTTTTAAAATAATTATGATATCAGTAAGGAGCTAGACTTAATAATTGGTTATTTTATTTTGGGTCCATTAATGTCTGTGTATATTGCACTATTAGTAGGGCACAATCACTTATTTATTTATTTATTTTTTTGAGTTGGAGTCTCACTCTGTTACCCAGACTGGAGTGCAGTGGCCGCTCCCGGCCACCGCAGCCTCAACCTGCTGGGCTCCAGCGATCCTTCCACCTCAGCCTTCCGAGTAGCCAGAATTACAGGCATGTGCTACCATGCCTGGCTGATTTTTTTGATTTATTGTAGAGATGAGGTCTCATCAGGTTGCCCAGGCGGGTCTTGAATCCGCGGGCTCAAGCAATCCATTCACCTCAGCCTCCCAAAGGCGCAGGATTACAGGCTGAGCCACCGAGTCCAGCATCTGATCCTTCTTAGTGCCTCAAACTAGATCATGTTCAGACATGCTATAACAAGTTATGAGTTCATTTTGGTGCAAAAAATTTGCAATTCATGTATAGTTTTTCATTATATTTTTCATGAATTTTTGAGTACCCTTCATGTATGGGGAAGAAAGAAAGAGAGAGGCTTAAACTGTTGGTCTTCTAATTCAATAATTTTACTTCTGGTAATTTATATTAAGGAAATTATTAATAATGTAGATAAAATTTCATATATAAAATGTAGATAAATGTTTTATAATTAATAGCAGAAAGAATCTGTCGAAAAATTCTAGTTATATTCAAACTAAAAAGCCTCTACACAGCAAAATAAACAATAGAGTAAAGAGACAGCTCACAAACCAGGAGAACATATTTGTAAAGCATAGATCTGATAAGTGGTAAATATCCAAAACATAAGGAATAATGCAATAGCAAGAAAACAATCCAATTAAAAAAATAGGCAAGGAACTTAAATAGACATTTCCATATATATATATGTGTATATATATATATATATATATATACACACACATACACACATACACAAATGGACAACAGGTTTATTTAAAAATGTTCAGCATTAGTTATTGTCAGAGAAATGCAAATTAAGCCATCATGAGATATCACTTCACACATGTTAGAATAACTACTGTCAAAAAGAAGAATGATAACAAGCATTGACAAGGAGGTAGAGAAAATGGAACACTGTACACTGTTGGTGGGAATATAAATTAGTAGAGCCATTTTGGAAAAAAGTATAGAGATTTCTCAAAAACTTAAAAATATAATATGATTCTTGGTATATATCCAAAGAAAATAAGATCAGTATGTCAAAGAGATATACATACTTCCATGTTTATTGCAGCACTATTCACAATAGCCAAGATATGGAATCAACCTAAAAATTCATCAACAGATGAATGGATCAAGAAAATGTGGTATATACACACAATAGAATACTATTCAGCTTTAAAATATAAGGAAATTCTATCATCTGTGACAACATTTATGAACCTGAAGGATATTATGTTAAGTGAGATAAGTCAGTCATAGAAAGACAAATACTGCATGATCTTACTTACATGTGAAATCTAAAAAAGTTGAACTCATACAGGTAGAGAGTACAATGGTGGTTTTGAGGCTGGGGATTGGGGAGGGCCGGGAATGTGGAGATGCTGATCAGAAGGTATAAAGTTTCTGTGACAAGAGGAGTACATTTTTGAGTCCATTACACAGCATGATGACCACAGTTAATAATAACTTACCATATATTTCAAAATTGTGAAAAGAGTAGATTTAAATGTTCTTTCTGCAAAAAAAATAATAAGTATGTGAGGTGACAAACATGTTAATCAGCATGATATAATCATACCACAATATATATATATGT